ATACAGTAATATAAATAGGATTTAAATCTGTATTGTATATTTTAAATAAATAAATAACTTTGGTAGTATCTACAGAAATCAAGGCTTTTTTAAGAGTTTATTTGAGAAGGATAATGGCAATAGGCAATATCATTTGTCCCTATCACACTTATTTTTTCGCATTGTATTTATTTTACATTTTATACGTTGTAAAAGTAAAAATAGGTATATATATATATATATGAAAAAATACAATTTTTTAAAACAAATAATTTTGAATAATGTTATAAATAATCGCAATATAAATCAAAAACTACAAACTCATCTAAAAATATAAAAAAAAAGCCTTTAATTCAAGAACGCAGAATTCTTTTAGAAGCCAGCGAGAATTCAAGGTTTTCCGTACATATTATATGAAGAAAAAAAAATTACTGATTATGTGGAAGGTCAAATTCTTCACTTTAAAAAAGAAGGAAACCCGGCCAAGAGATGAATAAACTAAATAATGCTAGCAAAAAATAAATTTTCTTACAGTAATTTTAAAACTCAGAATTCCATTATTTACGATAAAAAAAACAACGCTGTAGACGGAATAAAATTATCCGAGAAATAAAATTAAAAAAATTTAAAATTGTAAATTCAATACTGGAAATCGAAAATCTATTTATTTTACCTGTTAGAAGTTTAGCTCGAAAGAAAATGTTAAATTAATTTCTAAGCGAGTAAGATTTTTTTTTATTTGTCTACCTACAAATAATATTTTCATCCAGACATATTTCCATCACAACTTTTAACGATTTATTCTTTTGAGGGAAAAAAAGTTTTAAATATTAGGGTGAACCAAAAATCTTGCCCTGATAATAAAAATTCATTACAAAACAAGTAATAAAAAATAATTAAATCAATTTCTACTTAGGTCAACAAAGAAAATTTTATTTTAGTTACTTTTTAATAAATAATTACTATTATTATAAATATGGTATATGCATAATGAGAGAATCAAAATATTAAGGGGCAATAATTTTTTATTAAATATCATTAAAGTATCGTATTGTCATCCAAAACAATCGTGTGTATAAAATTTCAGTTCAACTGAATGCTTTTAAAACGTGAGAAAAAAATCTTTTAAAGTTTTGACCCTAAAGTCGCTAAAAATGAAGCCAACGTGGCTGTATCTGGAATTCTTCAAATAATTAGTTCCAGTCAGTTAATTATAAATACTTATAATTAAGTTATCGTATTGTCACTCCAAACAATATAGTGTATGGAAAATTTCAGCTCAAATGAGCGCTTTAAAATGTGAGAAAAAAACCCTTTTAAAGCAGTGTTTCTCAAACTGTAAGGCGCGCCCCCTGGGGGGCGCGATAAACGTACAAGGGGGACGCGAGCATATCGAAAATAAAAGATTAAAAAAAATTTATTTACTGGAATGAAGTAAAACAAAATACTTTCTGACATAATAAAAAATACACATTTACACTGATATAATTTATATATATCATCTGCGATGTTACGTCATAAAAAATAAAAGCTTCTACTTCAAAAACCTCATTTTAGCTATCTTTGATACTGTAACCAAATAAAAACCTTTTATTTGATTTGCTGTAATCCCATGATGAGAGATTTTTTTATTACGGTTTCTTTTCAAACCAAAATGAGAAAAAACAAAACCCAGACCCATAATCAAAAAAATTTTTTAGGAAGATAAAAAATTCATCACTGTTATATTATTGTCGTCAGCTGTTGGCAGCAGAATGTATTTGCTGCGGTTTGACCTTCGAACTTACTTGTACGGTTAGTTACGTCCCTGCTCTTATGTATTTTTTTTTTCATTTAGGGAAGTTGTAAATAAACTATTTCTGCTGCGATTTTTTTCCTTGTAAAATATTTTTATGATTTTTGGAAAAGCACAAAGAGCACTTTGAAGGATTACTTGGCAAAGATTTATTTCAATGAGTTATTCCCAAACATATAAAGCATAATGAAAAACGTTTTACATAATTTTTTTGAACATCCATATTGTAATAAATACACTTTTAATCCGGATCTGTCACGCCGAGCACGAGTGCACGAAATCGGTAATTCTGGCAAAACTGTTTAATTGTTACCAATGGCTCTGACACACACACTCTCTCTCTCTCTATCCTCCTGTTTGACAGTCTTAACGTGTGAAATAAAATATATTTGCCCTCTTTTTTTGGGAGTGACAAACGTTTTTTTACAATCTTAAGGTACTTGTTTTGACTGAGTTCCCGATGTGATAACTTTTTTTCCGAAATATTTTCTGTGTCCTTGAAAGTAGGTGAGTATCTTTTCTCTTAGTTAAATTATTCACTGGAATTACGATTTTTATTGTGTACTATAAAAATAATTATAAAAAAAGGATTAGGGTGACTCAATAACAACACTCGACCATTAGTATCGAGTGCGTACCTGCTCCAGGGTTAAAACATGTTGAAGTCTTTTCACTTTAAATATTAAAAATAATACAATTATTTTTCATCGGAATTTTATATTATTGTTCATTATTAAACATCAATTCTAAATGCTAATTCTGTGAGGCTTAAAATTACAGTTCGCTTAAAACTAATTATAATTTGAGCAATCATTTAAAAAAATCATTTTACATTTTTGTAAACATTGTCGCGCACTTGGCTTTACTCTCCTTACAATTCAGCGATTATATCAATAATGTTTTATTTTCTTATAAATGAACTCGTGCAAATAGCGGGTACTTCAGCCGGTATACTTTTAATGTATCAGTGGTGCACAGAGTATTTTATAACTAATTAATTAATGCTAAATTAAGAACAGGTTTAATAAGTATTAGCGACTTCCATGGGCTTGTCTAACAGCAAATTTTTCAAAAGAATGCTTTTGGTTAGAAATTGACCCACTGAGTTCTTTCTAAAAAAAAGCTGATATCTGTATTTTGTCTTCTAAGCAGCCACTGCATTTTACAATATGTTCCAATTTAAATAAAAATTAGAGAAAGGAAAAATAACATAATAATTATCCTATTACTTAATTTTTTTTGGCTTGAAAGCAGCATATACAAAATTTAATACTTATGTCATGAATTTGTACGGTTTATAATTAAGATTATTGCTTTAGCGTAAAAAAGTGCATTATTATTGCATTCAGTACATTATTAATGTATAAGGGGGGCGCGATAAAAATTTTGATTGAAAAGGGGGGCGCCAGTATTGAAAGTTTGAGAAGCACTGTTTTAAAGTTTTGGCACAAGCCACTAAAATGGTCCCTAAGTCGGCAAAAATGATGCCAACGTAGCTGTATTTGAAATTCTTTGAGTAATTAGTTTTAATCAATTTTTTAAAATTAGAATTAAATCATCGTATTGTCATTCCAAATAATTGTGTAAAAATTTCAGCTCAATTGAGCCCATTAAAATGTATTTTATAAAAGGATCTCAGGGGTGTTAAATTTTTCTAGGGGTCTGAAAACGTAAGCAATTTGCAAAAGGGTATAATTCTTTTAAATTTAAATTAAATGATTCGAATCTTTCACACATTATTTATAAAAGAATGGGGCTTCAGAAAGGTATAAAATGTTTAAAGTAAAATAATAATTTTCAAAATCATAAGCATATGAAAATTCTATGATAAATATTAAGTATTTTTTGCGTTGCGCACGCTATTTTCTGAAATAGTAGCCCCTTTGGTGTATAAAACTTTATAGAGTTATAAAATGCATCATATTCTTTAAGCCCTACCTAATTTTAGTATTATATATCTTCTGTATTTCAAAATCTTTTTGTAAAACATTGCAATTTTTTAAATATTTTTAAAAAATGTATTTTTTTTATTTATTAAAATATGTAAGTTATTATTCTATTTATATAAAAATAACTACAGTATAATAAGAATACATTTAACTTTATTAATCAATTTATAGCTAGTAATTAAAGCTACTATTTTAAAAAAAATGGCATGCGCGACATAAAACTTAATAAATATTTCTTACAGAAAAGTTTCTTATTTTCATATGCTTATAATTTTTAAAATTATGATTATATTTTAAACATTTTATACTTTTCTGAAGCCCCGTTTCTTTATAAATAATGCGTAAAAGACTCGAATTATTTAATTTAAATATAAAAGAATTATACCTGTTTGAAAATTGTTCACATTTTCAGACTTTTAGAGAAATTTAACACCCCTGAGACCCCTTAACGATTGAAAATTTGAACAATGTTTAGGGAGATTGTGAACTAATAGTAGGAATTGAATAACCATATAATATAGAGATGTAACTTTTGCTTCGTTGGATAGGTCAGTTTTAGTAGTTTCTTTCTTTCTTTTTTTGCGTGATGGATGGCCGGAGTGCTCCTTTTCAGGGGTGATTTGAAGAAACATTTGTAAGGAAAACATAATTTTCGGCCGAAATGGTGTCGATACAGGATAAAGTTCAATGTGTGCTCGCCCTTGAATGTTCAGCGTAAATTTTGACATTGTTATGGACGTCCTGAAGCAAAATGAATAAAGCAACGGCATGAAATGTTTAGGGAAATGGGTAGTGTAACAAAAGACAGGTTAAAGATCACTTGATGGGAACTGTAATATCGCCTAGAGATTTTCAGAACTACCAGGGGACCCGCGTTGCAAATTACTGGGGTAAAAAAATTTCACAACAAAAAATCCAAGTGAACGTATGTCTAATGATTACAGTTAAAGCACAATAAATATTTAGAATAAGGGCAAGACCTTTGGTTCACCCTGTGTATAATTTTTCAATTACTACTATTAGTTCACACTCTCTCCCTGTATATATTTATTTATACAAATATATATCTTGTTCAAATTTTCAATCGTTAATAAAATACTTTTTATTCATCCACTCAAGTTCAAATACATTTATTAAACTTGTAGTAGATGACACTTGATGTTAATACAGTTTCTTCAAATATAATTTCATTAATTCTATTTAATTAATGAAAATAAATAGTAACAAACACAAATAATAGTCCAAAACCATATATAAAAAGGAAAATCGCTCGTTGTGTCCCTGTAGCGTAATGGATAGCGCGTTGGACTTCTAATCCAAAGGTGGTGGGTTCGAATCCCACCTTGGATCGCCTCATTTCTGAAAATATGATTTCTTTTTACTGTACTCTTTTATTAGAATAATTAAATTTAATTCATGAATAAACAGTAACAAAGAAAAGCCCAACACCGTATATAGAAAGGAAAAAGGGAAAATTGCAAGGAAAATCGCTTTCTATTTCGTCACTTAATATTGGGATTCTGTCATATGTATATACATATTTACATTAATTGTAACTATTTAGTAAAAATATTTTCTTTGTTGACCTAAGTAGGAATTGACTTAAATTTTTTTATATTACTTGTTTGTTTCTTTGTTCACTAGTTGTGTGATTTTATTTACTTTTATAAATTATTTTTCAATTTGATTTATTAGAATAGTTATTTACATTTCCCAACACCAACTGTTGGGATATATTTTTGTTTATAAAACTACAATTAATAAATTACTAAATTAAATTATTAAATTAACTACTGAAATAGTTAAGACATACCTAAGATTAAAAAAATCATTCGGATTCTATTAGTAGGATTATAAATACTAAGATTTAGGGTTTGTGTTACTTTAACTCTCATCGTAAAAAACATAATAATAAAAGTCGAGACTTTTATTTAATAAAGCCCGGATTATGTAAAAATAAACATGAAATCGGAATTTTCCAAATAATTCATTTTTTTTCTGTGGTTGAAGATTCACAAAATAAAATAAGCAATATGTAATGATAAATACCCTTAATGAATTTTCTAGAAAGGTTAAGTAAATAAATGATGAAGGTTTAAATTTTAAAAAAAAGTTTGATAAAAACATATATTTATATAAGAAAATCCCACGCATCACATTTAATTTGCAATCTAGCTGGCATCAGACCTATTTACATTTTAAATTAAAACTACTGCCAGACTCCAGTGCTTTTAAAATTGCTGCCGGATTTGTCATTAGAGTATATGTAAAATACACAAATGAAGTTTAAAATTAGAGCTTGGTTTGTTTGTTTTTAAAGGAAGTTTATTTTCGCATGAAAACACATGGTAGAAACAATGGTATATTTCAAAATTAGCTCTGTTCTAATAGTTGAACGTGTATGTTCACGGAGCCAACTGCATATTCTTTAAAAATCATTTCCTGGATATTATTAATTTTATATTATTCTTATATTTGAGTTTTTATTTTTGAAAAGATCTCAATACAAAATTAAAGCGAAATGTTCATTTTTTAAATTTAAAAAGTGATACACATCAAGAATAAATTATCTGAATAGGTCAAAAACCTGTGAATGGGATCTCATGTATTGAAAACGAAACGCTAGTAGTACAACAGAAATTGAATGTTATATTTAGGAAATACCGATACACAAGAAAAAAACCCATTCAATGAGACGTTGGATCACCTCTGGTTCTGATTTTTGTTAACCAGCTATTCATACAGGTGATAAATATTCTGATGCAGGTTTGCTTACCAAACATGTTCGAATTAGTTAGAGACGCCTGCTCATTAGAAATTATTATGCTATGGAAAAGAGATATGGTGATCGCACCAGCCAGGTAAGTGTTGCAGAAGCACAAATAAAAGTATTAGAAATATTTGTCACGTGTGGCCAGGCAATGCTTTATCAAAATGTTATGGATTACGTTTCGGCACCTAAGCCATTGCAGGCACGGTAAGTCCCAAAGCGTGAGAGCCATTTAATTGGTGGCACCATCTAGTGGTGGCTCCCGCTATCAAATTTCTGACGTAGAGTTTATTCAAGCTCTCGTTGGATGCTAAATATTTTGCCATCATGTTTAATTTTTCCAAGAGTTCCAGAACCAAATTGATATTCAAAAGATCTTTTTCATTCCACATAATAATATGACATGCAGACCCTACGGATTTCGCATCCAGAAAATCTGTCGGCTTTAACCGGATTCGAACCCGCAACCTTCGGCTTACGAGGCGGGTTCGCTACCTTTAAGCCACCGAGCCGACTTTTGTTAAAATGTAGGTCCAGGGATTCGTAAAAGGATGAATAACACTATGGGACGTAGAACCTCCTGGACGTTCCACCGTACCATAATTGTGTCAAGAATGACAACTCAAAGGGCCTGGCTATAAAATGAGATGGCATTTCAAATCATAACTTCTGGTTGCTGGTTTGTGAGACGGATAATAGTGGGATGAATATCTTAGGCGTCTATAGACATCTTTTCGCTATTCATTGGAGCTCAGTTCGAAATAGGACTAATCACAAAACAATTCTATTCTTGTACGTGAGATTCTAGGTCAAATGTGTTGAGTATTTGAAACATGGACTGTTATTTTCCTCAACCATGACAACGTGAGAACTTGAAATCCTGATGGACGTAACATGTGTAAGTCCCTCTATACATTACAGATCTTAAGTGAAATCGGCATCAAAACATACTGTTCGACTGAAACATAACCAACTACGAACTCGTGATCGTGATCAAGATTTGTGCCTAGTAGCGCTTAACAAGTTCATGAATTTAAGTGAAAGATACAGTTTCTGCGCTTCCACACCAGAGGTCCGGGTTCTACACCCGGGCTGGGCAAGGTTATCTCGGTATTTCATCCCTATTGCAGTGGGTTCATAAAGGAGTACCGAACTTGCTTGGGAATTTAAGCACTGGGGGTCTTATTTCAGAGTGACCACCTGATCGGGACATCTGTTCATGCACCTCAGCGCCCAATGACCGTGTATACTGGGATGGACACAGTAGGCTCTGGCCTTCAAGGGATGCTGCGCCACTGAGTTTGAGTTTATGCAGTTTCTATTTTCCTAAAAGAAAATTTTTCCACACACTGTGACGTTTGAGAAAATTAATGGTACAGTGAGAGTTAGGAAATTAAATATTTGGTTTATTTACGTTGCATTGAAGTTATTCATAAGATTGAGTATTTCAGAGTTCAGAATATGCTATTTGTGATTCAAGGGGCAACATGACCGTTCTCTTCGGTGTTTTCCAGCGGACTTCCTTTCTGCTCTCTCCCGGGTGGGGTGGTCACTCTTTTATACACGAATTACACTCCAGTTCGTGGAGGGAGAGGGGCTTTTCTCACGGTCAAAGGTTGCCGGGGCGATGACAGAAGACAGGGCCCCGCAATATTTAGGGGTGTAGGTGTGCATAGGAATGCTAATATCCTATGCACAAAGGAAGCTGATTTTTCAGATGTGTGACGCGAAAACGTCACACGATACACATACAAATTGCTGACAAAAAAAAGTTCCTGTTTTATTCACTAAGCTTCAATTTTTAATATGAATTTATAACTGTTCATGATTTCTTTCCTTTTTTGATTTTTTTATATATACCTATTTCTAGCTTTCAATTAAGAGGTTGCAACGTTTTTATATGCAATTTATTTGTAATACTAATGTAAATTAAAACTTTTATTTTAATATCGATGACAACTTACAGAAAAATTTATATTTAAATTTAAAAATACCTCTAGTTAGAAATAATGAACGCATCTCAGCATATTGTATCCCACAATAAAACTTGAATGCTCCAAATTAAAAAAAAATTAGTAAAATATTTTTAATACTATTAACAAAACACAATTCTTGGCAATTTCCAAAAGAATGAATGTTAATGGACAAAGTACTTTAAAAAATTCCCGAAACATATGTTTTCCCTTCAAAAATTGCGGGTGGCCGCGGTAGCCGAGTGGTATAGGTATCGGACCGTTGCTTGCCTTGTCACGAGTTCGAGCCCAGTACCACTAAAGACCCGCCGTGTAGGGCAGCGATGCACGATAAATCTGTCGAGAGCTGAAACGTCCTCCCGTTGGTGTGGTGTGGTAGTTAGGAGAGGGGGGTGCCAGCTCAGGTGTCGTCCACGTCACTTGACCATGGTTCAAAATTACGTGGTCCGTCGCCAAAAGCCCTCGTGTAGCTTAAACAGTGCAACGTTACTAATAAATCAAATCAAATCAATCAAAAATTGCGGAAATCCTTTTTTAAAAAGAACAAGAATAATATGTTTCCATTTTTCATTCCAAAAGATTTTGAAATGCGTACCTTTCTATGAAATTAGTTCATTAATCTATATGTATAAATAGAAAGTGACTCATCATTCACCAAGATAACTCCGGAACACCTATTATACCACAGACTTGAAATTTGTTCCTTTCATGGAGAAGAGATACGATAAGAATGGATTTTCCGCAACTCAAACGTCAAGGAGAGTTGCGAGGAATTAATGGGTGTTATTGATAAATATTCCCATTTTTGAACAATTAGACCTAAAGACTTGAAATTTGGTAAGCATGTTCCTTTCATGGAGTAAAGATCTGCTCGAAAATGAGTTTTTTCAAAAATAGACTCTAATAGCGGGAAAGCGGGGAGTTAATGGAGCGTATAGATAAAAAAAAGTATTCCCGTTTTCTAACTAGTAGACCTACTGTAATTAAATTTGGTTTCAAGTAGTCTTTATTAATTTAAGTCCTCTGAGAACGGATCTTATACAGAAATCATCTCTCAAAGGGATTACGAGGCTTATTATTAAGGCTACACATTACCCTAAAAATTTCATTTTTACCGAATTTTTTTTTTTGCATGTTTTGGTGGCCCATATCATAGAGATGCTTGCCACGAAATTTCACATCTGTTAGAAAATTAGTTTTTAAGATATTTGAAGTTTCATGAGCTATATTTTTGGTTTCGGTTTCCTTTTAAAGCATTTTTTTTAAACTTAAGTTGAATTTATTAAAAACATTTTTGCGCTTTTAGTTTGAAATGGTTATTAATTCCAATTTTCATTACTAAAATCATTTCTGCTTGATTATGTTTTGAGTTTTTTTGAGTTCTCATAATTAATTAATAAAGATTAATTTCATGGCCAATTTTTGCTTTAAAAATGATTTATATAACTTAAAAGCTTTATCATTAATTTTTCCTGTAGAGAAAATGCCATGGCAAATGAGTTCTGGGTTTCTGTGAGAAACAATATTTCGAAGAGATGGAATACTACTGAAAATGATGTATCTAAAAATCAGTCCTCAGCTGATTCTGCAATTAGACTTCCGAATAC